TACAACATTTTGGTACGATGGTGCTATCTGTCTTCAAATTTGGATAATGGGTTTTGCTTTCGTGTAGGGTTGACGAGCAGCGCTGAGAAAGACATTTGATTGGTATGAGAAGATGCATTTAGATGTCACTTTTTTTGCTATTTTGTTGGAAGAACCAGAGAAGAGTTCTATGAAATTGCTAAACTTACTTGATTAATTTGGTTGGCGAAATATTTAGACTGATCGTTGAGAAGGTTATTTGCGTTTGTAAAGCAGTTGTTTTCACCGATTCACATGTGCTGGTAGGTTATTTCAAGAAAAAAAGCTGCTCTTGACGTGTTCAGATGGGAATAAGCCTCAAATAGTACCGTTTTTGTTTACTTGGAGTAGGAAAGGCGACAAAAAGGTTTTGATTTTCAAATGAAATGAGTGTAAGTTTTTGAACTGAATGTCTATGAAGGAAGTGTGGGATTTGGTGTGTCAAAAGGGCGAGAATAGGAAGTGGATTTTTCATCGGTGAAAGGTTACATTGATTTCGCTGGTTGATGACACAGAAGGTTTGAGGAAATGCAAGAGCCGAGTGAATGCAAAAAATTACTGGTTAGCCGACGATGTTTTTTGTTGTTTGGTAGTACGGCTCATTCACTGTGAGTGAACGACTGTGGTCCGTTGGTTACTGGTAATCGTCATCTTGTGCTGTGGCTGTTGCCAATGCAGTGGGTACAGTTAGTTTTCAGTTTGTTTTGGCTGGTTGCTTTTGTGTGTTTAGTTTTGCTCAACATGATCAATTGGACGTCCTCGTTGTTGTTCTGTTGTTGACACAGAATGCATCCGCTGTCCACGAATATTTTGTTCTTTTATACGATTCCTACATTCTGCGCTACTTTTTTATATTTTGAACAAGTTTCTATTCTTTTTTGCAATTTTTTATTCTTTTTTACCTCTGCAAAATGTGTAAATAATTTTTCTTTCAAAAAGAAAAATGTTATTAAAGAAACGTTAACTTTAATCTGTGTTTTTGTTTAGCTAAAGTATCTGATTTTTGTAAATAATACTGAAATAATAATACGCATTAGTTGCCACACATTTAATTTCATTTGTGCAATTATTGCAGTTAGCATTCGGTAATCTCTTAACGGTATTGTTGGATAACATGCACTTCTGATAATGAGACAGATTGAAGCTTGTTGTTATCAAACTAATTAATGGATATGGATTTGGTGTGCCTGCATTGTTTGGTTTTAATTGGGGTGCATTTAATATAGCAAACATATATTAGTCTAAGGAGAAGGAAGAAGAAAGAATTGAAGTCAAAAAATAGGAAAGAAACTTTTAACGTCAGTAACTGGTTCTACGAATCTTAGGCGAGAAAAAAATCAGTCATTTTAGAAGGTTTCAACTTTTGTCTGTATCATATTTCGAGGGCTGCTATTTTTTACTTTTCTTTTTTTTCTGTCGCCTCTTGTTTTTTAACATACATCTGTCGATTGCAAATTTACATCTGAATAATACAGACAAAAATTGTACTTCTGTAATTACGAGGTTAAAAGAGTAGAATACCGATAGGATTTTAAGACTGCACTGATAAACTTAGTAGTTCTACTATCAAAGTATTGACATATAAACGTTTATTCCTTCTACTTAGCTGACTCCAAGTTTATACATTTTGAAAACGTTTTAATTGCAACTATTCATTTTTCATTTAATACAACTTTTTTTGGCTTTAGAATTGTGGCTCATACTTTTTTTTTAAAGATTTAATCTCTGATAGTTCATTATTGTTGACATCTGTTGATAGTCTAGATTTCCCAAGGCTTAAAGTAAAAAGTTTTTCGCCCTTTTTTTCCATCTTTGTTTTAACCGTTATATAGAAAGCTTATATTTGAGGTAAAAGGTCTTTGAAAATTCAGTTTTAAGTTAAACGTACGTGGATATAAGGTTGAACTTTAAACTTAAAGTTGGATTTTGAAATACCCTTCTGCTCACATGTAATTCTTCTATACCGTCTAATAAGTAGTAATTTTTTTTTGGTTTTTTTTTCCCGTCAAAGAAGAAAAGAATTTAATATTTCATCAGTAAGTCTCAAAACTACTTTATAATAAAGTATAACTGCGATATTTATTAGGTGATTTCTTTTTGGTATTATGTGTTTTATTGAAAATTTATTGACGAATAAATTGACTGTTATAGCTTATAGTTGTTTGCTGTTATGATGCAGGTAGGTATATGATCTGTTTGAAAAAATTTATGCCTTATCCGGAGCAGTTTAGATAGATAATGGTTGAAGTGGATCGGCTCTGTCTGTCGATACATGTTTACTGATGTTTCTTGCAAATATTTCTGGTCGCAAACTAAAAGATATTTGCCGAAATATTATTGTTTTAACTAAGTAAACAGATGAAAGCATAACATATTAAGTAAGCTAATTGTCTCCCTTTTTTGCTTTCTTTTGATACTTAGACTTAAGAGGTAAGTTTGTAAGTTTGAAAGTAAAGTTTGTTGTTGGTTTTAGAAGTGGTGTAGAGTGTGTGTACCAGTTAAGGTTGGTGTTTAAAGTAAAACTTAGTGAGCAGAGATGATGTTTTTGTAGAAACCGAAAGGTTACTAAAGGTTTAAGCAACAACGGAAGAATGTTTGTTAAAACTCAATTAGCTACTTTTCCTGTCGTATTTTTTTTTTTGTTGTTAAAACAGTGTTCTCTTTAAAAATGAAGCTTTTTTTTTTTTTTT